TTATTGGAAAGGAACTATGGAGTTCGGGAGATCAAGTAAGAGGGTCAAGTTGAGGATTGAGGATCCAGGCGAGTCACCTGATGAGGATGACGAGGGTGGTCGAGTTGGGAAGCTGAATTTCCTAATCCTTGGGGACAAGGAAGGTCTTGAAGAGGAGGGGAATGATACGAAAGTGGAGTTAGAGTCCAACAAGCTTAGCGAGGGGCTAAAATGCAAGGGGTGCGCATCGGCCCTTGATGCGCACGATCGGGCGAGCGAACCGTGCAAGCGGGATTTGCGAAGAATACGTGGGCGCGCGGCTGGTGGGTGCACGGGCGTACGGGGTTGCGTGGTACAGGATCGGTGCACGGGCGACGGTTGGGACGCGCGGGGCATAGATGGCAGAAGCGGGGCGCGCGCAAGGGCGCACGAGTGGGGTAGAAGCGCGGACGTCCTAGTCCGCGGGAGCATAGAACAGGTGTGCACGCACGCGCAAAGGAAGGACGGCACGGACTGGGCACGAACAATGGTGTGCGCGTGTGAGACGGGCGACCCATTCCGCGTGGGTATAGGAGTGGCGGAGGCGGCGCGCGATAGCGCGCCCGCAAGGGACACGCGCGAGAGGCGGCCGAACAGTTTGGGGCGTGCGAGAGTTTGGAAGTTCTAGATTTGCTTGGTGTGCAAGCCAAGCATTAGTTATTTGGTAGCTTTAGGATTTTATTGCTTTCTAGAGTTAGGATTTATTTTATTGCATAGAATAGGAGATCTAGATCTATTAGGCTTAGAATTATTTTGCACCTATAAATACCCATGTACCTCTTCATTAATAGACATGTCTTGAATTGAGTATTGAATTGGTGAGCCAATCTTAAGGGGGAACTGATGTTCTTAACGTGTGTTTAAACAAGGCCGTTAGTGCGTGTTTACATGCAGTGTCGGAGAGAAGGCCGTTAGAGCGTCTTGAAGTCACGGTATCTAGGAGAAGGCCGTAGTGCGTCTGTTAGATACACCTATCGTGGATAAACGAAGGCCCTGAGTACGCCGTTTGTTCACACCCAACGTATAGATAAACACATCGATCAGCGATCCTTCATC